AGGTACAGAAAATATCTTTTGGACAAAAATATATTTTCGGAAATGAAATAATATGAATGTATGCATTATTATTGTTGCAGGAATAGCAATCTTTAAAGTGAAATCCACATATAGTAATTTAATGCTACATGTTTTTGCATTGTCAGATATACCTCTCTCTTTCTCCCTCTCTCTCTCACCAACACTGTAATCTTGTTCATAATATTAAAGATATTGAATGTGATTTATTATCATAATGAAACTTTAGAATAAATGTTTTAGGATCATGCAAATGCTATAGAGATATCGTGGGCTTTTGTCGATCTTGCAATAATACTAGTAATTTAATACATCCTGCTAAATGTTTTATGAAGAAAGAAATATATGTGTTAACAAGTGCAATTTGAATAAAAATAACCTGTTGATTTTTTTTATCAGATGATGCAAGCTGCTAAGGAAGTCTTGCTGTGGTGTGCTACACCCGATGGTGTGCTGAGGGCCAAAAATAAACTTCCTCAACGGGACTTTGACTTTGTAGAAAATGTTTACTATGAACGACAGAAGCATGATAATATTCTTTATTACCTTGACCAGAAGATCAGGAGGGAAGATAGTGAGGGACTGTTTGCTCAGGTCAAAACATATTTTTGTTCAAGCAACATGACTCACCCTTGTGACTTACATAAAATTAATGCTTTTTGTTAGCATTGATCGTGGTGCATAGACTCTTCATATTTTTATTTCTTCTTGAGGTCTACTTGGACCAATAAAATCAACCTTACAGTTGTACCATAAAGATTCCAGGGTCCTTATATATAAGATTATTTGAAAAAAATGGTACTGGTAGGGATAGTAAGTACTACATATTCAAAAAAGGATGCCAAAAAGATTTTACAATCGAATACAAAAACTTCATCAAATAGTTCAAATTGTAATATCATAAAATTTTAGATAAAGGTAAAGACCAAATGTGATCCAAGTGAATATAAATGAAAAATATTTGAAGTCTTTTGCTTATTACAACAAGAACCATCGTCTTCCTTCTCTCTCTCTCTCTCTCTCTCTCTCTCTCTCTCTCTCTCTCTCTCTCTCTCTCTCTATTTCAAGTTGTGTCTCCTTTGCAAAGTAAATCAATATAGTTCGGTAACATTTCAGTAAGGAATCATCACTTTAGCTTTCTTGTTTGTGTGTTTATATATTACTGATGCTATAACGTCAATAGTAAATATTGTATATATTGTATATATAATATTGTTGATAATTCATTAATCTATTTATATTTTATTTTAGGTGACCACCAACTCTACTCTGATCACTACAGTAGATGTAGCAGAGCTGTCCCAATACCTCCACATTCCTCACACACAGATAACACTACTCACTCTACAGTCATTTGACACAGAGCAACAGTTCTGTAGACAAGTCAAGTAAGTCATAGGATCTGTAGACAAGTCAAGTAAGTCAGGAATTCTGTAGACAAGTGAAGTAAGTCAGCAGTTCTGTAGACAAGTCAAGTAAGTCATTTGATACAGAGCAGCAGTTCTCTAGACAAATTAATTAAGTCGTCAGATCTGTAGACAAGTCAAGTATGTCATCAGATCTGTAGACAAGTCAAGAAAGTCATCATATCTGTAGACAAGTCAAGTAAGTCTTTAGATAAGTCAAGTAAGTAAGAAATTCTGTGGACAATTTAGAAGCTATTTGATGTGGAGTGGTTCTGTAGATAAGTCAAGTAAGTCAGCAGCTCTCTCTCTCTCTCTCTCAAGTTAAGTATGTCATTTGATACAGAGCAACAGTTTTTTAGACATGTGTTAAGGTCAGCAGTTCTATAGAGAATCAAGATAGGTAAGTCATGTTTTAAGCATGCCAATTGCAAAGTTTTGATAATTGCTATGTGTTTCCTCACTGTAAGCGGCGGAATCTAGTGGTTTTTAGGTTTCAAACTTTATTTAAACAATAGCTTCAAAACTTTGTGGTTTATAAAGTTAAAACTTTTGCAGTCTATAAAACAGATAAAAAATATCACTTGATAACAAATACTTTAAAAGGAATATTTATCGAGAACAATTTTTTTTAAAAAATTAAATACATATACGAAGGTTATCAAAAAAAAAACCCGTGTACATATGCTTTATTTTTTATATTGTTCACAACGGCAAACTGCAGAATGATATTTAACTATCAAAGACCTATATATAATAAACAAATGCTAAGTATTTAAGTTTAATGTTTTATTCGAGTTGGCAGGTATTGTCCACAGTGGTCTACACAACAGTGGGGCAGCCGGCAAACTGGCATACCCCCAACATCAACATATATGTTGTGCCCTCTCTGACGGGAAAAGTAGCTCGCTGGGTTGACCTCATTCGTGCTACGGACATATTTCAACACAAATTGTCTTTTAATTATATAATTTTGCTTTAGATTTACATTATATAAGATATAATTTTCAAAGTCAACATCACATATATCAACATCAACCATCACATATATCAACGTCGACCACAAAAAGTCAACAAAATCAACAGTTCAATGGCTAAATTGAAGGTGACGATTTTGCCAATACGACCACTGTTAAGTATAGTCTACTGTCTTTCCCCGATCTCCTCGAAATCATGGATAATTCGCCAAGTTGACCCTTGTCACGCATGGTATTCGGCCAGAGATCATTCCAAAGGTCCTAGAATAAGGAAATAGCAGGCAATTCTGATCAGCATCGTTAGTCCCCTTCAACGAAATCTCTAATACTGAAAAGACAAGAACAAACACCCACAGCAGAAAAAGATTCTCAATAACGTTTCCATAACTTTAATAAATTGGGTATAGCTAACCCATGTAAAACAATGTAAACGTAATTTAAACAAACAAAAGGAGAAAGGGTATATACTTAACACCTAGCTCAAGGGTTGAGGTGGGAGGGTATTTCATATTACAGAAAAATAAATAGGATACTTTCATCACCCACCTTTCACTTTCATTGATGCATAGAAAAGGGGAGATAACCCGTAAACCTAGTGACTAAGTACCGACACTGAATGGATGGATAAATAAATTCCGGCTTATCTCATTTATTAGTTTTTTTCACAAAAAGGAGGTGAATGATGACATATAATAAAAGGATAGAGCTTTGATAACGACGCATATTGTGAGATGAACTCAGATATGCGGTAATATACGAGAGGAGATCAAAACTTTCGCGAACAAATTATATAACTTCCATACACCAAATAAATTAGGTTTCAATGTTCATTATTCTTTAAAGTAACCAACTCTGATTTAACTGCATATCTGCACCGCCCATTCGCGAATCATGTAATCCAGGTGGTGACATGCCCTGAAGCATTCTGTTCATAGACGCAAAAATATCTTTGCGAGGCGTGTATTTCTTACCATGCAAATTGATTTTTATAACAAATCAGTCCATTTGTCAGAAATGACCAAATCTTGGAAATACTGTAGGCTGGTTTCATAAGGAAATCCTTTCCCAGAAAGAGCATGGTGACCATCACAACCCGAGTCCTCTGTAGGGGCCTTCTTTTTGTAATATTGAATATGTTAAAAGTCTAAATTAAACAATATCTTGGGGATTTAATAATGATATTATTGTTAAGATATTCCACCATTTTTCTAGATGTTACTTCTCAATCTTTCATGAAAGGAATGTCTAACAAAGGACACATCTCCCCCCAGTTTGCTTTCGCTGGGCTGCAAAACAAACGTCATTTTTATCTATCCCCCTCCCTTCACTAAAAAAACAATCCAAATTATGATTAAACTTCTAGAAAGCATAGTTTCTTCATTAACCTTTTAAAAATCATTTTAAGACACTTCAAAGGAATTTCCAAGTTATACGTTAATATATATATATATATATATATATATATATATATATATATATATATATATATATATATATATATATATATATATATATATATATATATACTGAAATAAATAAAAACAGAATGCTGCAGTCCAAATTAAATAAAATCTTTACTGTTTATTTATCAGCGCTAACGCGCTTCAAGAAATATGCCGGCGTGAAGCGTCGTAGTTCATAACCTCATGAATCTTCAAAAATTAAATTCATTTCTTACTTTAACTGCGTTGAAAAAGTTCATGTAGCCGCTACCACAAACTACATTGTGACGTCATAATGCCTAAGATTATCACGACGTCATTAGCAACGTTATTGACAACGTTTTGAATTTTTATAACTGTCTGAAGAGCCAACATGGCTGAAAGCGCTAACAGTAAAGATTTTATTTAATTTGGACTGCAGCATTCTGTTTTTATTTATTTCAGTATATATATATATATATATATATATATATATATATATATATATATATATATATATATATATATATATATATATATATATATATATATATAGCCGTTCATTTCTTGAGTAAGACTGTGACAACCATTCTTCGTCACGAGTCAGCTACATATAGACTTTATTTTTACATTGATGGAGAAAATAGATATTTTTCATACGCTATTTATAGAACATGTTCATGACTAGGGGTGTGTCAAATTTCATTTCGATCTGAATCGTGGTTTTCTAAATATAGAGATACTTCGCAAACTATTTGATCAGCCCTCGTAGATCAATATTGAGTAAAAATACAAAAAATTAAAACAATGCACACTATTTACTGAACACTATAGGTGTAAATGCTTTGTATATATAAGCTGAAATGATCAGTCTGAAGTTACGCTAATTTCATGATAACGTCAAAAACATGAATTTTGAATTTTTATCACATGATCATAGACGCACGTTATTTTTCTTTATTATGCCACATTACCAAGTGAGTGCAATAATATTTATGTATAGATTAAGATTTATTTACATTTTAAAATTCAGATGAATGCGCAATTAATATTAATTACGAGTGTCATCAATATAAACACTTCGTATACAGCTGCAGAGCCCAGTCCGACGGCTCTAGATTTATAACACCGTCTTGCATAGGAATGTCGGATTTCTATTTTCATCAAATATCAGTGGTTTTCCAATTCTTGTAGTGTCTCAGAAATTTTATACACCGTTGAAAATTCGTATTCACCAATTACAAATTACTTAATTAGATATATTCCAATAAATTAATATTTTTTTCAACAAGGTTTGAACCATTTTAAACCAAAATTGTATGCTGAGATGATGTCTCGTTTGGATGGCCGATGTCGATTTCTTTGTCAATTTTTCAAACATACTGAAGTACTATTTACGGTTTTCGCTTAATATTTTCATTGTCTATATATAAAGCTTCTAATTTAGCAGTTAGAGTTGATTTTGGTGCACTTCCCAGTATTTTCAGAGTTTATAAATTATTATTTAGATAATATCATAGATTAAAAAAACTTGTTGCAGATCAAGAGAATTCAAACTTACTTTTACAACATGCATGTTTAGAGGATGAAAAACTTGCAGGAAGTGGAAAAACATGTTGGCAAAACTGTATACAAACTATACTTGATGAAGTTATTGGTTCAAATGCTTATACATTATCAATAAATGATTTTGAAAATAATTTGAAAAAATATTTTGGGAATATAGTTTTTAAGGATATAATAAATATCAGAGAAAAAGGTAATGGCAAATTATCATTCTACAGCCAGTTAATAAGTCAAGGGATTCTAAATAAACTTGAAATTCAACCATACTTAAATTTTTCCATTTCCAAGAATCTTCGTTCTTTTTTGACTCGATTGAGAATAAGTGCCCACAAATTACAGATAGAGGTTGGCAGATATTGTAACCCGATTATACCAAGAGATGAAAGATTTTGTATCAAAATGTCGTTGAAGATGAACATCATTTTTTATTTGTATGTCCTCTTTATAAACAACTAAGAAGTGAATTTTGTACACATTTTTATAATACATGTATATCTTATGAAATTCTTAATCCAGCAGATGTTAATTTTACAAGAAATATTTGTAACTTCATACGTGATGCATGTAATATAAGAAAATCGATGTGACTATATATTTTGTATTTGTTTACTGTATGTACTGTATGACTTGCGCCACATTTGGTTTTTGTCAAATTGAATAAATAAATAAACATTAAGCGATGCTAAATGTATCATAAAATAGCGATAGCCGATCTATTTTGATATATCTAATTTTAAGCAGCTTTGACTCGTTTTATAAAGAAAAAAAATCACGATTATTTAAAATTTTATGGCATTTTTACCTTGGTCCGTTCGATACATCGGTGAACTTTAATGATCAATATTTTTACAAAAATATTAAGTTCAAGCAATAAAAAAAACTAACTATTCTGACTTGGATTTTCAAAGCTATATATTATGGTATACAATTAACATATCTTGAACCATTCATTTTGATAAAAGCGTCATTCTCCACGAGCTTTTTGGACAACCCTCCTATAGTTTTACAAAAAATGTATACACCCAAGTACATCCGAACTCTAAGTGAAATTCATAATTGCAGAAACATAATATGTTTATCAATGCAGGGCAAGCAGGACTTCAATAGCCTCTAAAAAATTGTTTTCCCTGTTTATTTTGTCCAAATGTTAAGACTGGAAACCGAAATTACAATGCAAATGGCGGATTTTATAAGGGTCATGTCTTTATACATATCATATTTTAGTAACAGCCTTTCAGAGACAATTCACGCCAAACTTGCCCTTCATAGATAAAGATATTATTTCTGCAATCATTATGATGGTTTTTACTAGAAGTACAGCATTAAACAGGTGCATTTCATGAAAAAATTTGAAACTGTTTAATTTTTTTTTTCAAAACCTTTGTATTTTAAAATATTTGTTTTCACGTGATACTTTTTAATCTGTTAGTCAATGATATATTTATAAACTGTAAAAGTTTAACTTTATACCTCACATAGTCTAACATATCTTCTGTCAAACATGAGGTCGATACAAAGAATTGAGAGGTCGATATGGTTTTTTGTAAAGTAGATGCATCTATTTATGTTAAAGCCTTACTGACAGACCAACGCAACATAGCAGCTCTGTTTGTTTCCAAAATTTATAATAGAAAACGAAATGCATAAAAACAATTACAAAAGAATCTGGCTGAGAGACATACCAGGCTCATAAAAAGGTTGACTATAAATGATGTTCAATAAATGATTACAAAACATTGGTCGCCCAACCACAACTTTGATGTGATAATGCGGTATTATTATATGATTGAATGAATTCCATCTCTCTGATTGGCTGAGATTCAACTATGTTAGAAAAATACTACGTTGTATTGACCTGCACGTGACGTTCCAGGTCAATACAAAGATTAATTTCCTCTACATTGATCTAAAAATAGATTGGGAAATTCCAAATTGATAAAAATCGTTTTGGAAAGCTATTTAAACGGCTGTGTTTTTTTTCATCTAAAAAAACAAACATAAGCGAATATATATTTTAGGGTGAGGGTGGTAACAGGGGATGCAGGGACCCCCCTGCAATACTTTTACTGAACAACATGTTTTTTTTTTTACTTTTTGGCAGTCAGTTTTCCCTGATAATACTCCTTCCTTTAAAAATCTATCCTATAAAAAGACTGACATTATATTATATTTTGATGGCAACTAAAATTGATAAAAAAAACAACATTTTAAATTGATACGACAGGTGATATTTATTCACATTTCAATTCTGTTTCTCTCTTGTATTTGGCTAGGACTTAATTAAATGCAAGTTAACAAGTAATGAGCTGTATCATTTTATCGGTAAATCATTTAATAAATCAATTATTCGGAATATCGTACTCCTCAGATGGCTCAATCATTGTATTGACCTCAAAAAACAGCAATAATTGTATAAAATACAACATCAGAATTTATTGGACATCTCTCTAATCACCGAATAAAAGTGCTATATTTGTTTAAGATATTTTTTTTACTGAAACGTATTATAAATTTTAAAATGGTGGGGACAAGCTTTTTTTCAGTTGTCATTCTTAATACATCAGGAAAGGAGATCATAATAAATGAAGCTGTTTCGAGTTATTTTGGGTTTTTTTTAAATTTCTTTACAGATTCTGAGAAAACGATCGAAACTTGAAAGTAATGGGAACAAGCTTCAGTTTTTTTCTATTGTTATTTTTTAACACATACAGAATAGAAATTAAAAAGAGATTAAGCTAATTAATGCAATTTTACTTTTATATTGATTAGTTTGTTGAAGAGATTTACTAACTGGAAACGTTAAGGTTATATTTGTTTCGTTTTCTATTGATTTATGATAAAGCATATCTAAATATAAATGAATTTAAATTAAACCTTTGTTTGATTTCATGATAAAGTCTAGCCTAAAATTCAATGGATCACAGAACATCTCATCAGAAAAAGACACCAAATCACATTTGCCACTTAAATTGTAAAGTCACACTTTTGTTGTTTTACAGATTATTTCCATTAGAAAGTTATTTTGGCAAATAAGTGTGTAAACCTTATATGCTTGGTATAACATGTACATGTAAGAATGACCACTCTTGTAGAAAACGTGTTTTGTAGACAAAGTTTTGAGAGAGACTTGACTGCTGATTCACTGTTGATTGTACAGTGTGACAGTGGAAATGAGAATGCTAGCCTTGTGGCCTGTGCCCAGTATTCTGTGTTAGATAAACTACAACAGCTGGAAGATGAGAAGACAGGGAAGACACACATTGTCTTCATCATCCATCTCCCCAGGGTGGCAGGTGGAGGATTCACGGGATTCCAGGTACAAATCATTATTATCTTACAGAAAAGTGAAGATGGAAGAAAAGAAAATTTGTGCTTTAGGACGCATATTTTATGTTTTGCTTTGAAGAGTTGTAATTTTTAAATGTTTTGCATAATAAAAAAAAATCCAAATTGATAAAGAAAATCAATTTTTCATTTTAAAACACTTTTTTTTCAAATATTAAGCCCAACCCAAGTCCGACCTAAGTGTCAATAATTGTAATTCTATCATGGGAGAATTTACAAACATAAGATCAGATATCTATTTTGTATATCTTTGTAATGATAAAACACTATTTCAAATTATAATAACCTTTTGATTTCTAAACTGATTTCTAAATATTTTTAAAAATTCAGAATGCTAAAATTTTTGCTTTCTGGCAATTTAATTCATTTCTAAAAGAATTATATAGGCAAAAAAATTTTCTGGCATTTTGTGCAAATACCTGGTAAGGTGCCTCAATATTTTGCGAGTTAAAGTGAAAACAAAAACTTCAACGACAATATCTTGAAAAAAAAAATTTATTAGTTAGAATCGTATCTTCAATTCTAAAGTGCAGGAATGCTCCTCTTCCTTAATAATATTTTTTGTAATTATTATAAAAAGATTGACCAGTGGGTCTTTTGATTCTATTTATTACTTAGTGTGGTTTATGGCACTCTGTTCACATCGACGATCTTAGACCAGATGGTGATAAAATGCCCAGTTTTCTGGATTTAAAGAATAAGAGTGCAGGAACTTTACTAGAAAGTGGTACTGACCCCTCTAAACACAGAGACACAGAAGAAATGGACTGGGAGGGGAGGTCAGATTATGATAAACCGGAAACTGAGGACATAGAAATGGAGGATCAGGATGTTTATCTGCATGACTTTGGCAGCATGATGGAGCGAACAGGACAAGTCCATGTGGAGAAGAAGGTGGATATTCCATTCTTCATCAAAATGACAGCACATACAGCCCTGGCCATGGTGAAAGATCCAGCTGAGGACTCAGCAAGGACAACCGAGAGAGTGAAAATTCTGTTAGAGCTTCTACACCAAGTAACAAAAGGTGGGACTGAATAAGATTTTTGTTTGTATGAATTTTTCTGTGTTATACATGTTAAATATTATACAGTTATTGACTGGGTATGAGGGACACATATGATTTGTTGGACCTGAAGGTGAAAATGTTGCCCGAGGCCGCAGGCCAAGGGCAACATTTTAACATTCAGGTCCAACAAATCATATGTTGCCTGAATCCTCGGAGTCTATAACTGTTTTGTTATACCCTTCAGTGCTTACTTAAGATTTAATAATACACACTATATTATCAATTACTTTATATGGAAAATTATGGCTTAATCAGTAAATATAAAACAATAGCTGAGAAAGAACAAAATTAATTATATTTTTATTATATCACAAAAATTATTTATCACAAAACATATACTTTATCACAAAACATATACTCTACCCTTCTTCCTTAATAGTAGCAACAACTCTTACAGCTCTTAACCTCGGCTATTTCCGTATCGCCGATATTGAACGATGATTAATTTCTTGTGACGTAGCAGTGACGCTGCGGTCTAACAATTCTTATGTTGGTCCGGCAGGCCGGTCAACAGTGAAATTGTTAGACCGATGTAATAAACATTTCTTTTGTTGGCCTTTTTATTAGTAATAAATATATAGAAAGCTATTTATATGGGTATAACAATCAGTAATATTTGACAATATTTAATGTTCAATGATGTTAAATCTCGTATTAGCTCACCTGAGCCGAAGGCTCAAGTGAGCTTAACTGATCAAAATTCTTCCGTCGTCGTTGTCGTTGGCGTCAACTTTTTACATTTTCATCTTCTCAAGAACCACTGGGCCAATTTCAACCAAACTTGCCACAAAGTGTCCTTAGGTGAAGGAAATTCAAGTTTTTCAAATGAAGGGCCACGCCCCTATTCAAAAAGAGATAATTCAGAAATAGTGAAAATTTGGTTGTATGTTTTAAAAATCTTCTCAAGAACCACTGTGCTAGGAAAAATCAAACTTTTAGGAAAAAATCCTCAGGAAGTGAAGATTTAAATTTGTTCAAAATATGACCACTAGGGGTAGGGCTGGACCATAATGGCCGATCAAAGTTTTACACAGAAAAAAAATCTTAGAAAAGATGAAACTTATATGGAAGCATCCTCAGAAAGCGTAGATTCAAGTTTCTTCAAATCACGTCCCCTGGGGGTAGGGCGGGGACACAGTGCCCGATCAAAGTTTTATATGGAAACATATAGGAAAATTCTTTAAAAATCTTCCTTCTCAAGAGCCACTGTGCCAGGAAAGATGAAACGTATACTAGTATGGAAGCATCCTCAGGTAGTTTAGATTCAAGTTTGTTCAAAACATGACCCCGGGAGTAGGGCGGGGCCACCTTGGCCGATCAAATTTTTACATAGAAATTTATAGGGAAATTCTTTAAAAATCTTCTCAAGAATAGGAAATGCATGAATAATCATATTATATGGAAGTATTCTCAGGTAGTGTAGATTCAGCTTTATTCAAATCATGACCCCCGAGGGTAGAACAGGGCCACAATGGCCGATCAAAGTTTTACAAAGAAATACATGTGTATAGGAAAATTCTTTAAAATCCTCTTCTGAAGAACCCCTGTGCCAGTGAAAATGAAATTTATATTGAAGCATCCTCAGGCAGCATAGATTCGAGTTTCTTTAAATCAAGACCCCCGGGGGAAAGGCGGGGCCACAATGACCGATCAAATTTTAACATAGAAATATATAGGGGAAATTCTTTAAAAATCTTCTTCTGAAGAATAGCAAAGGCATGAATTATCATATATATATATATATATATATATATATATATATATATATATATATATATATATATATATATATATATATATATACATATATATATATGAAAGCATCCACAGGAAATATAGATTCAGCTTTGTTCAAATCATGCCCCCAGGGGTAGGGCGAGGCTGCAATGCCGTATCAAAGTTTACATAGAAATTTATAGGTAAATTCTTGAAAAATCTTCTCAAGAATAGCAAAGCCATGATTTGTCTTATTGGTATGGAAGCATCCTTAGGTAGTGTAGATTCAAGTTTGTTCAAATCATGACCCCTGGGGGTATAGTGGGGTCACAACATGGAATCCGGGTTTTGCATAGAAATGTGTAGAAAAATTTATAAAATATCTTTTCAAGAATGGCAAAGCCATGATTAGTCATATTCATATGAAAGCATTCTTGGGTAGTGTAGATTCAAGTTTGTTCAAGTCATGACCCCGGGGGTAGGGCGGGGTCACAATGTAAGTTCAAATGTAAAGGGCACTGCCACAGGTAGTCAAGGAAATATGCCAGCATCCTTAGTAAGTGTAGATTCCAGTTTGTTCAAATCATACCCTCTCCCATTTAAGGATTGGTTGGGAACACGTTTCGGTTCAAACTTTCAATAATAAACTGATTTCTGGATTTTTCAAAGCTACAATGTTCAGGTGAGCGATGTGGCCCATGGGCCTCTTGTTGTAGAAAAAATGACATTCATGCAAGGAGTTGTGCACCACCTAACGGCCCTGATGAAGGAGAGAGAGGAGACCATGGGGCAGTCTACTGTGAGTTGGTTGTATTCAGAGGCCACCAACAGGGACTGTATAAACAGGGCAGGAACTTTCAGGTTTAAAAAAAAAAATTGTAGAAATGAACAAATTGAGGAAAAAATTTAATAGGAGTTGGATTTTAACTACATTAGTTCGGCCTGTATTTCAAACGGCAGCTACTGAATGGTAACAATGGTAACTGTTGTTTAAATCACTTGCAGAAAAGCTCGAAACCAGTGCATCATTAAGAAATTGTCCCCCATTTTGGCTGGCATTGTTGCTCAAGTGGACACCAGTAATAACCTTGACCTTTTGATTAAGACTGACCCAGATACCTGGCAGCACAAACTTTGGCTTGAGATCATCAATGACCCCTCAGTCACACAGATAGAATATTCCATGATTGTGTCCCCCAAAAGACAGCAGGAACTTCCCGAGGTGATGGTGAGGGGGACGGGGTGTGATGGACAGAAATTTACAGCTCAGATGCCTTTCTCCTGGCTGATATACAACCAGATTGACCGAACCATGAGGACGTCACAAGATCTTGAAAAATATGGTCAGATTCAGCTGCATTGTTTAAGATATGAATGTCACAGACTGACTTTATCACTGTCGTGTGTGTGTTCTAGTTAATTTATAGAATAAATTGAATCATGAATAGTTTCCTGGACAAATGCTTATTTTAATGCGTGTGATTTTTTACTGAATATAAAGATATTCAGTTTCACATGCAGCTCTCTTTACGTCTACAGAGAACAAAATTGTTTTGCAGAAACAATTCAAGAATTGGTCCAAAGAGTAACAAATATCATAGAAAACACACCTATTGGAAAAGTGCTTCAAAAGTGTCTATGTGAAGTCAGGGTGCCTGAATTTGTCAAGACATATCTCAGTGATTTTGTTTATATGGTATATCATGTGACCAGTGTTGAGGAGCATGGGGTAAGTCTTAAAAGTTTGAAAAATCAAAAATTTTTTTTTTAAATTATAAGGAAAAAATGTCAAGGAAGTTCTTTTGCTACGTGTATTCTCTACATGTTAAAATCTTTTTATGTTCATTTTAGCTGGTGTGTGAAACTTTACTGAATGGAATGAATATTGACTTCAAAGAAGGACTGCAGAGTGTTGTGATGAACTTTGTAGCAATTCATGCTGTATATAATAAAGTTGTACCAAGACTGAGAAATTTTGCCAGTATTACACGAGTGTGGCCTGAGTGTATTGCTAAAATTATCGAGTTCCAGCAGAAAAGTCCTCAATTTTTCCTTGTCACAAATGCAGAACTGGTAATGTTTTTTCTACCATATCATGTCTTTTATGTTTTGCATTGTTTTGTCTATTACTTTCTACTTTGAAAACTCATAACGAAAAAATTGCTTCATTTTTCAGACCCTGGATATACTTGGCCTCTACCTGTTGTTAAAATCTTTGGAGCCTGGTGAGGACTCACTAAATGACAACAGGGGCAGACAATACTGGCAGAAACAGGTACTCAAGTACCGGCCTGTGGTGGAGAGGATTCTGGGACAGTTTGTACAGGAGGTGGATCCATCAGGAGTGGAGGAGTTTGGGAGAAGGTGTAGGGAGGGCAGTAAGGAAGCCAGGTTAGTTTGGTATAACATACATTATTTTACATGTATAATTTTCCATTTGAAAGAAATTAAGATTTTTAAGTGATACATGTCATATGTCAGGTAATATGAAAATACAGAGAAATATACATATACTGTGGTTTCATCAATTTTTGTTGGCATCATTTTTCGAGTATTTTGTAAAACAGACATTTTCGAGGATACGTAATTTCGTGGATAAAAGCTTTGCCTGTACAAATGAATAATTAATTCAATTAACATGGAAATTTGTGGATCTGCTCAACAACTAAATCCTCGAAAATTGGTGCTCAACAAATATTTATGAAATCACAGTAGTTACATAGGTGTGGAAGATGGTCTAAGCTTTGAAGGCAAAACATTATTTTAAATTTGAAATTTTACATTTTTAAAAATATATATAATTGAAATAAAGAGATTTCTAAGTACAGTAATACACTCAACGAAGTACCAGGGATGGACGATTAAGTTTTGTTATAAGTGTTAGTCATCAAATCTGCTAGGTTTATAATATAATATTAGAAAATCGTGGAGAATAATAGTCTTGAACTTACTTTTTTAAGGTGTCAATTCATTAAAAGTGTGTTCCCTATAGGTATAAAGATGTTTTACAGTAATGTGAGCATTAAGAACTATAAAATTAATACAATGTTTAATTATTGAATTCACGTTTTACAGAACAACAAGCTTATATCGACTGATATTTAAGTACAATGCATTTGCCTGCACATAAACTCTCTTTGCATACATACCGCTTTTTAATTTTTATTCCTTCATCAGATGCCAGTGGAGTAAGGTTGTAGTCATGAAACTGTTTCTTCAGCATGTCTGTGCAGAGGACACAGCAATCCCAGTGGAGCGATGCAAGACGTTATGGGTGGTAAGTTTTTACAAGTTAACATGTTAGCATATATTTTTGTAAGTAGCAGTGAACTTTAAAATGGAAGGATTTCAAAGCTGCATAGAAGTTTAATCTTGTCAGATCAAGCTTATCAGGAGATTATTTTTTTGCACTTAAAAGTGTAAGTTCATTGTCATTTGGTCAAAAGAAAAAGTCATTTAACCTTTTAATATGCATTTACAGATGCTTAAAGATAATGTAGATTTCAAGAACATTGAAGCTTTGGAAAAGGTGGAGAAATTCCTGAAAATGTGTATGAAAAAAGCAGTCACCACAGCATTCGGGTAAGAAAACCTAAAATTTATTAATATTCACAGATTTAAGTTTCTGCCTTTTTTTTTTTTATAATTTATAAACAAAAGTATAACTGAATTTGATAATTACAACCATAAGAGGAAGGAGGCTAGATTATGACATGTTTTCAACCATACAAAAAATTCAAACAGCTTTGAAAATAGTTAACCATTAAGATAGAATACATGTACGTTTTCTAGCTTACCTGAGCCAAAGGCTCAAGTGAGCTTTTCTGATCAAAATTTGTCCGTTGTCTGTCGTCGTTGTCGTTGTTGTCGTTGTCGTCGTCGTCGTCGTTGTCGTCGTTGTTGTTAACTTTTCACATTTTCATCTTCTTCTCAAGAACCACTGGGCCAATTTCAACCAAACTTGCTACAAAGTATTTTTGGGTAAAGGGGATTCAAGTTTGTTCAAACGAAGGGCCACGCCCTTTTTCAAGGGGAGATAATTATGAATTTGAGAAAAATTAATGGCATTTTTTTTAAAAATCTTCTTCTCAAGAACGACTGGGCCAGAAAAGATAACACTCATGTGGAATCATCATCAGATAGTGTAAATTCAAGTTTATTCAAATCATGACCTCCAGGGGAATGGTGGGGCCAAAATGGCCGATTAAAGTTTTACATAGGAGTATATAGGACAAATCTCTAAAAATCTTCTTCTCAAGAACCACAGGCCAGGAAAGATGAAACTCATGTGGAATCATCCTCAGATAGTGACCCGTACGAAAGTTCGAGGCGGAATAGGCACGGCTTGGGCACGACTAAGACACGGAATCCGCACGGGTTTTTAAAAAGCCGCACGGGTTCTGCATGTCCAAGACACGGACACGGCTTCCGTGTCTGAAAGTGAGGAATCCTCACTCACAGAAACCCATGTGGAGGCACGGAATCCGTGTCCTAAGGAGACAGTTTTTAACTCAGGCGGGTTTTGCTTTAAACTAAATATTTATATCTCACGGCTTTTTACTGAGCATGCTCAATCATAACTTCCTTTATTTGAATATTAAATTGGAGGGATTCATGGTCATGAGCTAAGTCAGTGTGTCTTTTTGCTCTGTTTAAAGGATATTTAACTAAATAGATGTCAGTTGGAATTGTATTTATGTCAGTCTGGGATAATTTCTTCACTTTTGAACTAAATGCAGTAAGTGTTATCTAGAATAAATAAGTAAATTTTTCAATTTTCATGATCTTCCTGTATTGCAATGTTGACAATGAACATGATGAAATAGTTTAGGTTTATTTGAATGACTTTAGTTGGACTTTCACTAATCCTCATATATTTTATGTGACATTACTGTGCTAGTGAAAGTTTTATTTAAAGTAAATTCTTTCTCAGATTGTGCAGAGTGCGACTTAGCTACTAAATTAAATTACAATTGAATATTGTACATTATCATTAAAATCTTAATTAAAAACTAGCATGGATTGTAACTGATAAATTTAATCTTTAACAGAAAGTAAATGGACACATTCATATAAGATTTTTATCTTTTGAAATTCTAAAACTTAAGCATTAATGTAAAGCAATGTGAAGTTAGTTTGGTTTCAGTCACCATTTTTGCATCCACAGTTACATCAGGAGATTCTCTAAAAGCCATGACCTAGATCTAAACAAATGCACAGATCCCGTGACTCCTTATATGGTATACGGCACGGCTTTTTTGACACGGGTTTCCAAAAAACTGTGTTTCCATATATGGAAAAGGACACGGGTTTCAGACACGGGTTTACAGAATCCGTGAGTCCATATATGGAAACAAGCACGGCTTTCTGACACGGGTTTTGTAAAACCGTGTGATCTCATTTAAATATTTCGGCCAATATCCGTGCCGTGTCCGTGCCTCGACCACTTTCAGGCACGGCTTTCCATACATACTTTACATAGGAGCACGGAATGCTAAAGCACGGGTTTCTGGAGACGGAATCCGTGCCTGAGCCGTGTCTAACCCACCCGGACTGTCTCGTACAGGGTAGATTCAAGTTTGTTCAAATCATGACCCCTGGGGGTAGGGTGGGGCCAAAATTGCCGATTCAAAGTTTTACATAGGAATATATAGGAAAAATCTTTTTCTCAAGAACCACAGGGCCTGGAAAGATGAAACTCATGTGGAATCATCCTCAGATACACCCCCGGGGGTAGGGTGGGGCCAAAATGGCCGACCAAAAATTCTCATAGGAATACATAGGGGAACCTTTTAAAATCTTCTTTTCAAGTACTTCAAAGCCATGATTAGTAATATTTATGTAGAATTCTCCTCAGGTAGTGTAGATTCTAGTTAGTCCAAATCATGATATGTGCTTTTTCCTAGCTGATGTGCTCAGGTGAGCGCTGTGGCCCCTGGTCCTCTTGTTTAAATCACTGATTTACTATGGTATTTTTTTTAGATAACGTACATGTATAAGGTAGTTTTTTTTTAATCAATGTTGATGAAAAAAAAAATACGCATGATATCACATAGCCAGAAACCCCATGTTTTCAGAAGTTCATTCATGTGAGCTTTCCTGATAACCCGTTGTCCGTCTATCCATCTATCTGTCTGTAAATTTTTCACATGTTTAACTTGTTTTCAAGAACTACTTAGCCAATTTTAACCAAACATAGTACAAATCATACTGTAGTTAAGGGGAGATTAAATTGCTAAAATGAAGTTCCTAGTCACATTCCAAGGGGAAATAATCAAGAAAATACAAAAATAGGGTGGGGTCATTAAAAAATCTTCTCCTCAAGAAGCATGCTCGCCGTGTAATATATAAAATCTTAATTGTTTAAATCATGATTTCCCGGGGGTACGGTGGTGCCATAATAAGGAATCTAAGTTTTACATTGAAATGAATAGGAAAAATCATTAATAATCTTCTTCTTGGAAACCACTGGGCCAAAAAAGCTGAAAATAGCATTCTGGGGGTAGTGACTGTGTAAAGTTTCAGTTGTTCAATTGTTCAAATCATGACCCAAAGGGCAGGGTGCAGTCACAATAGGCAAAACAAGGGGGTCTAGTAAAGAACAACTTTGTCATACCTATTAAGGTGAGCGATGTGGCAAATGGGCCTCTTGTTAGTGTATACTTAATCTTTTGTGGGTTAAAATAACTTTACAACATCAGAAGTATATTCTCAGGGAGTGCTCTTTATAGTGTATGCTAAGTCTTTAGTTGGATTACATTGTAGGAGGTTAGATAGCTGTAAAGCCTGTGAAAGAGAGATCACCGAGAGACCTATACAACTCGCCTGTAAGGACGTCATCTGTATCATTTGTTACAATGACATGAAGATACTGAGATCTACTGAATGTCCTGTCTGTCATGATGAAATTCCTGATCACTTCAATCCAAATCAAGACAACACCAAAAAGTATGAGCTTTTGTTTTATTTGTATGTAGTTCATTGGGGTAATTATCACCTATGTAAAAATTATTTATTACAAGAACATGTTTTATAAGACGGATGGAAATTGTAAACTTGTACTTTTTTGGTTCTCCTATATATCTAGATTGTCACACAAGCTTTTGAATTGTGATCTTACTACTTATAAGAATTTCAGTGACAGTGGCTTAAAATATTTTGAACTGATATAAGTTAGATTTTTATAAAATTTCTCATCAATTTTATTTCAGCCTGAGGATGCACAAACTCAGGGTCTTCCAAAGACACTGTAACAGTTTCTTTATGGATCTTGTGTCCCAGCTGTGTTTTACTGATGAGGAGCCACCGTCCAGTGCAGTGGTTCAGAAGCTAATGTCTTACATTACCACCACAGCTCGAAAGGGCCAGGGAGGGAGAATGGCCAGTAAGGAGTTGTCAGTGTTTGAGGAAGGCATTGATCCTACACCAGTCCTACGATCCTTCTTCCTACAACACCTTATAAGGACCAGGTGGAGTTTTTTTTTTTATAGAATTTTAATGGAAGGGCAGATTTTGAACTGTATCAATTTTTTCCTTATCAATGTAATGCCCCTACATTATCAAATTAATGCATAAACAAAAATCTGCTATATTTTAAGTTTCGAAAGATAAAGAATGTTTTGTATCATATTAAAAATATTTTTTGGTTCTTCCTTTTCAGCTCTGGAGAAGTAAGCGAGTGTCTACAGATTTACTTGGATCAAGTGGAGGAGCTGATGTCCCTCAAAGAAAATGAAGACAAAATGATAGAACTCTCTCTGTTGGTCATTAATTGCCTAGAGGTAAATATGAATTGGAATCTCGCTCTCTCTTTCTTTCTTTTTCTTCCTTTTGGGATGTGGGAATGACTTTAATTCTGTCATTTATTAATCAACAAGTGGCCTGAATACCAATTAATACTTATGTTTTATGAACTTCTCACAAAAGGACTCCCTGCACCAAGAGGTTACCAAAAGTGTTGACCCAGAAAAATCCAAAATCAAGATGGCCACCCAGATGCTTCAGCACAATGTT